TGCACCATCTGGAGAGGATAAAATTTATGAATGGGACCTTCTAAAGATTCTTTTGCGCATCAAAAACTTTTTCCAATACAGTGAAAAGAAAACTACTGATTGGGTAAAACATTTGGCAATACCATGTCAGACAAGGGTCTCATATCAAACATTTATGGAATCCTACAGGGCCTCCACAAAGAAATACAGATAACACAGTTACAAAATGGGTAAAAGAAATGGAAAAATTTTACACAGAGCAAGATATTAGAATGGCAAACAGACAAATGAAGAAATGCTCAAATTCACTGGCAATAAGAAAGCTGCAAATCAAAACCACAATGAGGTACTCCAGTAACACAGGTAGTTTAACAGGACAGCAAGCAATCCCTCAAAAAGCTGAACATAGAAATTCCATATGACCCAGCTATACCCTGAGAAAATGAGAACTGTGGCATAAATGGAGACTTGTACAACAATGTTTAAAGCAGTGTTATTCACCATTGCAAGAACATGGAAATAGCCCAAGTGTCCTACCACTGACTGGATTGAGCAATTATGGCACATTCACATAATGGAATACTATGCAGCATGCAGGAGGAGGACCTGAAGCACTTGCTGCAGAAGGTCAAGTACTGCAGCCTTCAATATGGATTGAAGCACAATATCAAGAAATCAAAGATTCTCACCATTGAGCCAATTGGTAACATCATGATAGATGGTGAAAAGACTGAGATTGTTAACAGCTTCCGTTTGCTTGGCTCTACAGTCAACACTCTTGGTACTAGCAGCCAGTAAATTAAAAGATGCATTACATTGGGAAAGTCTGCTGTCAGAGACCTCTTCAAAGTACTGAAGAGCAACGATGCTAGTCTGGAGACTAAGGTGAAGGTATGTCTGATACAGGCCATGGTCTTAGGCAATAAGATTGGCAAGGGATAGAGCAGGTATTAGGGCTGCTGTACACAGGGTTGCTATGAGTCACAGGTGACTCGAAGGCACATAACAGCAACAACATGCAGCATGCAGGAACAATGATTTTGCAAATCACTACCTAACTTGGGAGGAGAGGAAGGCATTATGCTAAGTGAATTAACTCAGTCCCATAAGGACAAATATTGCACAAGACCCTTATTGTAGAAAAAGATAACTTGTAAAACGTGTATGATGATCTATGTCTATGATAGATCATAGATCTATGATCTATGAGGGGGTAAGAGTGATCAGAGGGATGAGGAGGGGGGTGTAATAATAGAGTCTCAATTTGATGAGTGGAGAAAATGGGAAAGATCTGATATGAAAAAGTTTGTGAGTAAACTAGTATAAAATAAAAATGTCATTTAAATAAAAAAAGAAAATAAGAGAGGGTGTTGGGAATGCACGCATGAAAGTTTGCTGATATACCATTAAACTTATGAGCCAAAAGAAGACTCCACTTCTAGGTGACATACCAGACCTATAGGGCAGAGCAAGTTCCAGAATCATGAGTACAGAGCTTACAGGAATGGAAATATAGCCCTGGATATGGCTTCAGGTGGGAAGCTCTGACCAAGTGCAGGAAAGAGAAGTGGACCTTCAGGTCACACAGCCAGTTTTATCCAGCTTTATCTCCTTCAAACCTCCCTCTCCCCTGAGAAAACTCCACATATGGACTCAATAGAGTCAATATATCTTAGCCATTCATTAAATTGGATTTAAAAAATCCAAACCAAAACAACTAAACCTCCATTTTGGCATAATACCAGTAAGATCCTGGTCTTTAGAACCTAATTATGTTGATTAATTTGGAATACACACACACACACACATACACACAATGCAGGCAATACTTCTGTAGTCCAAATGGATTATTTCAATTCATCCCCCCTCTACTTTTCTCACCCAAAACCTATCACCTTCCTTAGATGGGAGCTTTCTCAACCTGCTCTCTACAAATTGCTCAAATCTCTTCTAGGTTAAAAAAAAAAAAGTCAACAAAAATACACACACACAAAAATACTTTGCCTCCCAATAAGTCATTTTCTTTTTCAAATAAAATTCTGGTTGTTATTTTGCTTCAAAAGCAAAAGATTTTAAGAGCTACCTTATGACAATTTTTTCCTTAACAGTTACTCTTCAACCTGGGACTGACTTTTGTATCCACTACCCACTAGAAGCAGCTATTACCAAAAAGTCAGTTAAGGCATTCCTGTTGATAAACCCAGTGAGAGCTTTGTAAATTTTTTTCATTCTTTGAACTCTGAAGCATCAAACCCTCTTCTTCCCTGAAACACTAGTCATTAGTTTTTGTTGACCTACTGCAATCTCTTATTTTCTTCCTACATCTTCACACATCCTTACATTACCAGAATTCTTCAAAGCCTACCCAAATCTGCTTTCTCTTTTTTCTCTCACAAACCTCCGTTGTGAGTGAACTATTGGGGGCACTAGTCTCAAAGTATTATTTTAAGCAAGTCTAGAACCTTTGAAAAAAATTACTTTTGCATCTATATAAGCAGCATTTTACAATATTTATTAAGTTCCACATGCATACTTACCAATAACCTAAATAAATAAGCTTGAATATAATTGGGGGGGTATGGGAGAGGTTTTAAATTCTGAACTTCACTGCATTATCCTAGTGTCTCCCTAGAAATAACAGTTAAAGAGTGAAGAGAAGGAAGCAAAGGTGTAACCAGAGTAATGCCGCCAATCGCCAATCGACCTAGGACATATTTTACACAAGGCAGACTAAAAATCCAAATATGCAATCAGAAGAAAAATGCTGATTTGCTATCAGTGCTGTAGACTGTTTAAGATAAGGATAAAGAAGATATATTTTGGAGGACCTAAAACGAGAAAGGTGTAAGAAAGGATTTTTTATGAATTGTTAAGGGAAGAAACTAAAGTTAAAAGGTGGAGAACAAAAAACTAATTTTAATTGAAGTTCTGGCCTTGAGTCCAAATTATAAATTTATTAAATTA